GTGTGCCTTTGGCTGTGTGTTAATTCCTGATCATTTCAGAGGATCTGAGTGTGCAGGGTGGGAGGAAGCAGTGCCCAGTTTGGTCCGATCTGTGCATTTATACACCACTTTTAAAGGCTGTGTGYAATGGGGATTCTTGCTGGGATGTCTGCAGTCAGCATCCCCTACTCTTTCCCTCCACAATTTGATCCAGGAAACTTGGAGATTCTCCTTCCCCCAACTGTTCAGACCCTCTGTTATGTTTTTAATTATTTTTTTCCATTTCCTCCCTCGCACAGCACACAGCTTCTGTATTATCTCAGCCATTTCTATGGTGCCYTATCCATTCTTTCCATGGAGCCTTCGCTGCTCCCTCAGAAATCAGATCCYTTTTAGAATGTTATGTTTAGCTGCCAAGTTTTAATAGGTATTTCTAGATTCTTGCATTCATAGAGCAGCCAAAGGCAGGTCCACGGGGTGTTTTGTGATTGGGATGCAGGGACAGMAAACAGGCTGCTGGGCAGTCATCAAACACTTCCTTTCCTCCTGGCTGCTGCAATCAGGACAAAAAGCAACATTTGGTATTGTCTGCTGAGCAAAGTGCACAATAACCCCAGCCYGGGAGTGAATCCTCACAATGGGATTCTCTTAAAAGGGAACCCCTGTGCCTGAGCTGCAGAATGCATTTGCTGCCATCAGATAGGGATTCATAACTCCTGCCAAGAATACAGGTTATTTGAAAATAAAATAAAATAAAAAAAGAGGCCTTAAAAAGAATGAAAACATCCAGAAGTCGCAGTGATGTTGCAGCTCTAAAGCAGGAAAGAGTTCGTATATTCCATACACTTTTGAATAAAATTCAGAACAGATGATAACACATTGAGCTTTTTTTTTCCCCTGTTTCTGAGCACAGGGATCAACTGCAATGTATTCCCAATAATCATTGTGTCTCTCATATGTTGGATAAATGGAAGACTATTTTATGCATCATAAATACAAACTTTAAATATAATCTACACTTGCAAGGTGCCTGATGTAGTGAATGGAGCAAGCAGGTCAGGTGGGCAGCAGAGAGAAATAAGAGCTGAAGCTTTATTCCTTTGAATAATTAGCTGTTGCTTTGGTAATTGGAACATCATAGGTGATAAGCTGTAAAATAATGTTTCTGTATTAACACTCGGGGGCCTTTATAAAGCAGAACCTGTGAATCCTCAGAAAAACTTCATTATTGCTTCTGCAGTGTGGGGTTTTTGTGAGTTTTGATTGATGACTTTTTTCATAGGCAAAGGTCATGGCAGGATACTCATTTAATACTGACAATAGAAGAGAAATCATAAATACATGARTGACCTAAAGATCCTTCAAGAGGTGTTAAAAGTGTTTTGAGTGGTCTTTGCTGCATCCTGTAGTTTTTCAATTCTTCCACCCTTTGTTTCTCTCACCCCTTTGGTTTCAGGGTATGAGCTCCTAATAAGAGTGTTTATGCATTTCCTATTTTTTAGAGCATTTTAAGTCCCTTAACAGTGTAAACCACCAAGAAAGTCTTTTAAATTTTGCCTCAAATATCATTTTATAGGAATATATTGCATATTTAGATACATTGCATGCAGTAAAATCCACAATTTTGTGTAATTGGCCRTATATAGAGTGATGGAATTCAGGGTGGGTGTGGACTCTGGCACTCGAAATATCCATCAGGATCTTCCAAAATCATCACTTGCCATCTCCCAGTTCCCACAATTAGGCAGTGCTGCCATTTTAAACGGTGCTTTCAGAGAACACCTTTGTTTGCTAAAGCAAAAATGACATTTTTTTGGAATTTTTTTTTTTTTTTTGCTTGTCCGTGGGAGAAGGCAGATGATGTGGGAGCGGATATCAGCTTCAGTTCAGACAATATTGCACAAATCCACAATTTCCAGCGATTTCCACCCAAATGTCTCGGTCAGAGCGGGTTCATCGCTGCCTTTGTGTTCCCATGGGTTGGGGATGGTCYTTGATGGTTGGGATGGATGGTTCACTTGTTCACAGGAGGAGACAAAATTTCCAATCATTCTGCACCACTGGAGTCTGGCATGAGCTGCAGGGAAACAGGAGGAGAAATGCCATCAGAAMAAGGCAGATGTGAGGGCACTTCCCATGCTGGAAATCACTAAAGCAGGTGCAGAAATGCTCCGAGTGACAAYCTCAAAGTGGTGCAATTCAGAATTTACCTTGTTTTAAACAATTTCTATGAATAATTTTGCACAACTGACATATATTCTTTTTCCAAACTCTTTACATGTTGAATTAATTTAGTTATGATAATCTCAAGGTATGTAATCATTTATTTTCTTATCTTTCTGGGGTTCTTTTCCATTGTTTGGAGATTATATGTTGTGATTAGACATTAAGCACTATAATGAAATTATTTTGGATTAGTTGCTACCATTAATAATAATAATAATAATAATAATAAATAATAAATAAAAATAGTAATAAATTCCAGGGCAGCACAATTTTCCCCACCTTCGATGCTACGTGTGGAGGATGTGGATGAGTGGTCTGGGCAAAAACCCCTCAAACAAACTCCATCTGATTTAGCTGCTTCTTTCTGGTTTTCATTGTTCTGCTGAATGTTGGGATTGTTATTTCTCCTCTGTCGAAGGCTTCTGCCACGTGCTGTTGCTAAGAAACAGGGCAGTTGTAAGTGATCCAGATAAAAGAACAAATTCCTATTAAATTCACCATCAAAAATGAGGGCCTATCTGCATAGTATCAGGATTTTATTTTATATTAAATGCCCCATTCAGAAAATGAACTGACATTTTATATATTCTGGATGTAGCAGGAGATGAAGTCTGTGGTGCTCACTGTTTGGAAGGTCCCAGCTGAATCCATCCAGGTGAAAGAAGAACCCTGCAGGTAAAAAACCCCTGGAACCCCTTAAAGAGCTGAAATCTCTCTCCTGGGGAGACAAATCCTTGTGTGGAAGTGACAGAGCACCAGAACTCTGAATTACTGAGACTTTTTGGCTGAAGCAAAAGAAAGAGTAGAGAAGGTGATATTTGAAAAAAAAAACAGAACAAACAAAAACCCAAATAATATTTTGGTTCAAGTTGAATTATTTGAATCTTTTTCTTTCCAAATAGAAAGAAGAACTTGGTGTCATAACAAAATAACATAAAAGGAAAGCATGCGATGAAAAGATGGGAAATGTGTTTTTCCAGGTAAATCTTCTTGACAGATTTGTCATTAATTAACAAARAAAAAAATSGTTTAGTAAGAAATTATTTTCTAATTAAAGAAGTACTACYCTGAAACATCACCTGAATAAGGGAGAGGGCCTGGTTCTTAGAAATCTTCCAAATTCTCACTCTTAAATCCTCATATTTTTGCTTAGCATATGGATGGCAGCGATGCCTTTTGGAGCCAAAGATGATGTCAGAGATTTCTACAGAGAGCTGCTGACAGAACTCCATGGTATTTCCTAAGCCATAGGTGATAAATTACACYATTCATTTATTAATGGAATGTTGTAGCATCTCTATCAAGTATTTTTGAAAGCTTTTTTGCTTTAATTTCTGTTTGACTTTGAGTGAGCCTGAGCTGTGTGTAGTGGAAAGGAGTTGAGGATGTACAGATGAAACTAATTAAACACTGCCTGCCACTCTTCATTTGGAAGCCCTGATTTCAGCTCGCTGTCTCCACTTTGATTATTAAAATACGTATGGTGGTTCTCACCCCACGCTACCTGGGAGTGTCACTAATTAGGTGTCAGGATGTCAGTGATTAATGGGAAATCATGAATAAATTACAAATAAAAGCTCTACACGTGTACAGAGCTGTTGGGCTGTTCAGGATGCTCTGCAGCACCAACCACTCCTGACCTCTGAGCTGGAGTCATTCCCTGGAATTTCAGTGATTGATAAATGAGACAAGAGTCAAATCAGAGGCACAACTGCTTTTTGTTGTGACAAAGGAGGTTTCCAATCTCCACCTGTCATTATTCCACAGTTTGGATCTAATTTTCAAGTCCTGTGGCTGTTTGTCATTCATCATTTATATAATGGGAGAAAATATGATTAAGGCTATAGTCCCAAATGCTGATTAAGGCTTAATCATGATGAGCACAAACACGTAAATAATGGAGATTGGRCTGGGAAAATGGTGCATTCTTATTTAAATGTTCCTGCCTAATTTTTTATGGGGTTTCTTTTTTTCTTTTTTTTGTTGTTGTTTTTTGTGGTTTTTTTCATAGAAAGGAGGCTGCAGGCATCAAAACTTGGTGAGATGGACAGAACACAACTGTAATCCCTGCTGGTATTCCTGGAGTAACTCAGGGAAGGAGCTGCCACCAGTGCTGAGGCACAGAAATCCCTGAACTTCCTCAAAGTCCTGCAGAGTCCTTGGTGTGCATCCAGGAGCCCTGGCAGTGATGAATCCTGGACAAACTGATATCAATGTGATGGAATCAGTCAGAGGCACATCCTGAGCTGCTCAGGTAGCACTGGTGCCTCTTTGTCTGTTCAGCTCTGTGGAATTCAGGGAGCACAGATCTCGTGTCCTCGTTGCTCTGAGAGCTTTTCCCTGAGCTGCTGCCTGTTGTTTCCACTTTGTCTCATCTATTCTTTATCAGAGCTGTCACCATTCTTTTTTTTTTTTTTTTTTCATCTTGTGAGTCGTGTTTTGGGTATTTTAGGAAAAGGGGAGATTTTGCTCAGGGACCAACTCAAAGCATTTTGATGCTTCTGTTTCTTTGAGCGAGGAATTAAATGACACCAACTCAAAGCAAAACCACCCCTATTCCCCAAACTCAGGAAATAAAACGCAMTGCTTCCAGATGTGCACTCTCTCCATAGCCCAGCTGCTCTGTAAAGCTCTGTTTTTTTGTGTTTCAGTTTCTCTGTTTGTACCCAAATTGCAGTTTCCCCGAGCAGATGCYGGCTCTCAGGAGCGGTGGTGACTTGTGGCTGCTCTGCCACCACGACTGCCCAGGAGAAGGAGCTGAAACACAGCCTAGGGCTTCCAAAACTCCCAATTCTCAGCAGGAGAGCCCCAGGATCCCTGGATCCAGCCCTCATTTCCAGGTTTGTGTTCCCAGCAGGGGAAGGGATGGAGCAGGGGCTGCCCAGGCTGGTGGGCTCCTGGTCCAGAGCAGGGACTGTGAGGAGCAGGGTGAGGTCAGGGCTGATCTGGGTGTGAGCTGGGAAATCTCTGCTACCAGGGAGGGTTCTGAATGCTCCCTGATCCACTCTGGGTGCCCAGCAGCTCCTGTGGCTCTGTCCCTCAGTGTCCTTCAGCCTCATGGAGTGGCTGTGTAAGCCCAGTTCTGTCATCCCCTTGACCAGAGCAGTGTCCAGGGGGTTCCAGAGCCCCCTCACCACCCAAACCAGGGAGTTTTGGGGGGCTCTGTGTGCTCTAATGCACCTCATTTGCCACAATAACTTCACACAGCTGCTTTTTGTCAGATGGATGAGGGATTAATGTTGAAAAATCACCATTCTTTTAGTTAAAAACCAGAGCTCCCAGCACCACAGAGCCCTTCCAGTTACCAGATCCAGGACTTTCTAAACATCTGGTCATTTAGCAGAACTGCAGAGAGATTTGGAATAAGTAACAGAAAGAAATTGAAGTAAATTTTCATTACAGATCTGTCGGAAATTTAAAATTCAGGATGGATGGATTTAATTAGCTCTGRACACTTTGGTTTTCCTGTAATTCAAATGTGCCAACTTTACAACACGCAGGCCCTTGGGACATTATTTGAACCAAATCATCTTTATTTTACATGTTTGAACTGGGCACACATTCTGGTCTTTGTGGCACTGTGTGAAATCAGACAGATTGTGGCTGGGGCTGCATTTCCACACCTGTAAATAAACAGAGGATTGTTTTATGACATCCCAGGAAGTCCCTTTTATGGTCAGTTGTAAAAAAGCTCAGGGAGCCACGTTTGGAGCAGGCAGTGGATCTGCACAACTGTGCTTTCAGTTAAAATAATGGGAATCCAATAGAGCCCTGTCTGGACAAATCCTGCCAGTGCTGCAATGAGGAGCAACTTGACAGGTTTTAATTACTTTAGTGCTCATCTGGTGAGATTTTCTGTTTGTTCTGATTGTGAATCCTGTGTTACWGATTTAGTACATAGGTGCTAACCCAGATACCTTTCCTCTGTCAGGCTTTTAGTAGAGCTACAGCACAGGAGGTGAATTCAGCAGTGTGGAGTTTGGRAAGAGACACCTGGAATTAGGGGCAATTTTTGGTCAGGGCATGTTTACTTTGGGTGATTCACTTTTTCTTCCTCCAAGTTTGTGTTACTGGTTCTTTTCCTCAAGAGGACAAGGGTTSTGCCAGATTTCAGTATTGATGGGAATCTGAAAATCCATGAAATAAATGCAGATATCATCCAGGAGCCAATTATATCCCACACTATCAAATTATCCTAAGAAAACCTGAGCTTCCCATTCAGAAATGATACTGGAATCACACTTATGAGAATATTTGATTTGCTTTATAAAAGGCTGCTCAGAAACAGTCAAGATGAATTGCTGGTTTTATGCAGCTGAATAGACAAATCGAAGCAATATTCTAGGGTGCAGGAAAATCATCCTTGCTCTTTGCCTTCTGTCCACAGGTCCAATCTGTTTGAGATCTTGTTGATTCTGTGGGGATGGGCACTGTGGGGCTCTGAACTGGGGGAATATTGCTGCCAGGACACCCAGAAATGTGTGTAAATTCTCCCAGGAACAGGAGGGAGGGCAGGATATGGGGCACCTGCTCTAACCCAGCCCAGAWCAGCCCCTGGCTGTCTCCTGCCAGCTCTGGAGCCTTTCCTTGCCAAAAAAAAGCTTTGAGAGGCAGCACAGAACCTGTTACTGCTGCCTGCATCAGTATTTTAAAGAATGAACAACTGAGAGCGAATAATCTGTGGCTCTCAGAGGATCTCTCCCTGTCTGTTAGCAGAGCAGGATGCCAGGCTCTGAAAAGGACACTTTGATCATCTCTGTTAAGGACTAACGCATTCAAAGTCACGAGCTTTGGCAGGARATTCCTGTGGAAGATTCCTGTTCATCCTTTCTGGGCTTTTTGATTCTTCCCTCATTGCCAAAAAGCACAAATAACAGCTTGGAACACTGGAACCGAAGAACAGCTAACTTGGAGGAGGTACATAATGTTTTAATTCTCCTGGTTCAGATATATAACACAAGCTTCCCTGGGGGAGTGTTTTTCCTTGTTAACTCATTTATGAGATAACTGAGGCTACAGGTGTTCAGCTTTAATAAGGCATTAGTGAACAATTATATAAGACACTAAAAATAAAACCAGAGTCTTTGCATGAAGGAAATCAACACTGAGTGAAAAAAAAATAATTAACAGCAAAGCTGCACAATCAAATAAGAGAGAAAATTTTTAGAAACTGAAATTGTTGGATAATATCTTTAATGCATACAGAAAGGAAGTTGTTGAAAGAAAGGAAGGCTGTGTATTTTTATGTGCAAGATATAACAAGACATCAATAATATAGAAAAGAGTAACTGGTGCTCACACTACTGATAAAATCATTTCCTGTTTGAATTAAAGTGTTCTTTAAAATATAGTTTTAAAATAGTGAAGAGCCATCTTTCCACTAACATGCAGTTCTGTATCCCCTTGATTTATGAAATCTCATTTCAATTGCAAACTTGTGGCTCTACTGTGTTGGTGCCTGAGCATCGTTCAGTGCTGCAGAGAGCTCCAAGAGCAGCCCTGGAAAGGAAAAGAGGAAATTAGATATATTAAGCCTGAAGAATCAGTGACATTCAAATAACAGTTTTGCTCTTGTATTTCTCATTTGTTAGAAGGAGTTCCTAATAAAAATTCTAATGTGTCTTAGCCTTGGAAACAATGATCTGCTCTATTRCTTTGGACAGAACAAATTTAGGACAGAGGTTCTGACACTTCCTTAATTATAAGAGGATATCTGAAGTTCTTGGCTCCCATTTGTCTTCATCTTCACCTGCCTTTTTACTCTTCATGATGAAAAAGAGTGAATTGGACTAATGCTCATCTCTGCTATTAAACTC